CAGGGATTGTTGTAGACTTTGTTTGCGCTTACATTTGTGGTAAATAAAAGGTTTCAGGCACCTCCACTTTACCGTGGAGCCATGTAGCAATGGAATGGAATTAGTTGTATTTACACATGATAATGGTTTAAGGTCAATGATAGTTGACTGCGCATTATAACTTTCTTCTTGGTCATTGTTTGACGGATGAAAAAGATACAAATCAGCACAGCTATCTTGCTCCCTGGTGTCTTTTTTTAAAGACCACATTATATAAGTAAATACAGTTGGGAGCAACATCTGTGCAGATTTGTATCTTTATTCATATTTTGTACTTTTTTGAAACCAGTACACTAGATCAGGACATTGGGATGGACGTCCTTACTTGAAACCTCATTGTGTGATCAGAGGCAAGTCGTTTATACGTTTCCCCTTTTACAAAACTTCCAAACCTTCATATCATGAAAGGAATTTGTATTTGTACCTGTTTTGAAATAAATATGCCATTATATTACTATGAGCAGACTTCCCTTTCTCCATATCTTACCTGTATTACCACTATTATAGCACTATTAGTTACTTGGGATCTCATGTTTTAGTGTTTAGTATTCAAAGTGACGGTCATTCATAAATTTATTTCCCCCATCATGCATTCAGAACAGGAGAGTATGACACTGCTTTATCTGTATATTATTTCTCATGGGATAAAGTGAGTGATGTGTATGCAGAGGTGTTGAGGGGGGGTCATGGGACAGCAGTGAAGTATTGTCCTACATTGAGATGCCATAAATCCCACTCATAATTGTTACCTTGCTTGTTGCGTGTGCTTGGTAAACGGTTCCAGCCACGGCGGTTGTGTCATGGCGGCCTAGTTGATGAATCGCCTTTTAAAGATATCAAAGGAGAGGTGTTTTGTGGTGAAGGATGCGCCGCTTGTCTGAGGACCCTGTCTCCTTCTCCTGAGCGTATTTTCTCCCGGGGGAAATTTGTCTTTTTATCAAGTGTCCATAAAAATTCGGGGCGTATTCAGACTGAATAAATCAGTCTGAGTTAGTTTTGCAATGTGCTTTTATCAAGGACACAGCCATCTCCTGCACGGATCCCAGTCAAGATGGATGTTTGTGTGTTTCTGTATCCAATAGGAATGCTCAACACTTCTGTAAATGTTAACGCTAACACCAATACAGACTGTGTTGCAAATACACACAAAAGAAATAACAAGACAAGAGGACAGTCTACATTTGACATCAGTCTAAAAAACAGCAGCAGGTGGAATAATTTGTATATGATGTTTATAAATGGATATTTTAATTGTAAATCCAGATAAGAGCCATTTAAGGATGGACCAATCAGATCATTTCATTCAGGGTGAAACTAGCTTGCCATAGCAACTATGTTAGCAGAATGCCTACCCCTGTTAAGGAACAAATGCCCTCATGAAGAATATGGCTCCAGCTATTGTATATTCAAATCGGCTTCTCCAATTGGATCCCTTCATTCGGGGTGAATCTCCAGCTTGCTGTAGCAACCATGTTAGCAGCATGTTACGCCCTGTAGCAGCATGTTACGCCTTTGCGCCCTGTTACGGCGCAAAGCTAGTGCCTTCATGTTACGCCCTGTAGCAGCATGTTACGCCTTTGCGCCCTGTTACGGCGCAAAGCTAGTGCCTTCAGAACAACTGCCCATATGAGGAAATTGGCTCCAGCTAGCTTATATTACAATCGGCTTCTTTTCGGCAAACACTATGGGTGACATCAGTACTCTATGGTTAGCATATGAATGAATGAATGAGCTTTCATTCGGACAATACAAAATAATATAAATAAATACAAACAAAAAACAAAAATACCTATACGTGTACACTGTATGTACAATTTGTTCCCTCAAGAAATAAATAAAATAAACAATCATGTCCGAAAAGGAGCAGGAAGAAGTACAAATACTTATTTGCCCCCTTTTCTACATATCAATTTAACAAAACAAAAAATGCACTTCAAAACAAAAAAATGCATACGCCTATTACTTTCTTCAAGGTGAGAAGTTTAATTTCAGACTGTCAAGAAAAATAAAACCTTTTGTCTCTTAACTCAGTGCATACAATATTATGTTTTGCCTTTACTTCCCACTTACTCCAATTGTTGATCATTACGTGGTGTGTACCCAGATTTGCTGTAATAGCCCCGTAGAATGAATGGATTTCTAGATATTACATCCCATATATAATTTGCATTAAGCAGTGTCTCTTGTTTTGTCTTCTTTGGTTATGAAATTGAATTTTTGTGATGAATGAAAGCTGCTAATTTGTGTTCTTTGCAGCGGCAAGTCCTCCCCCTCAGTCTGTCTGATTATATCCAGCCGTCTCTGTCCTTTTTAGTTCTTTGTGATTTTCTCTGTGAATTTTAGTAAAAACATGTCGCGGAGCTCCCTTTGGTACTGCAGTAATTTGCCTTTCACTTTTCCCTTCCTACTGACAGTGTTAAGTGCTTCACCACTGGCTGATTGAATGTGTACTATTGTTTTGAAGCATAGAGGACAGAAATAGCTTTTTGGGCAATTATTATACCTTTGTCTGACAAAATAACAGCAGCGTGTTTGTGTGTCCTAGTTTTCAGAAGCTTCAAAGGAATGATACCTGATTATATTTCTTGTGCACTTAAGGAAAACAGTTGTATTATCTAATAGCCGTGTGCTCAGCGTTTGGGCTTGTTTGAATAAACGACTGCTGTTCAAAATGCATGTATTTAGATGTGATGTTTATTAACATATAGCAAATGATCTTGTTCTGTCCAAAGTATTGTTGCTCACCTTGAAATTAGATTCTTTTGAATGAAATGGTGAAAGGGGGGGGTGAATATCTTATGCTGGGACCTATGCACACCACTCACTCAATGATCAATTTTCTTTTTTCTTTTTGCTACTACTGGACACCTGAATTTCTCCTTCGGGGATCAATAAAGTATCTATCTGTCTATCTATCTAGTGGAGTTGCGCTATATTGAATGACTACATTGTTATTGTCAATTGCATTGTAATAATTTTAAAACAACACTTATTCTATTTAAAAGCATGTAATATAGACCTCAACAAATACTGTTTGTTCTTAACGGCATTGACAATATGAGTTTGATATTTGATGCCGCACCTGTAGGTAGATAGATGGATGCACTTTGATTATTTTCTTCCACATTATACCCGTGTGTCACTGTTTGTTCTGAGAAATCTGGTGAAAACATGTTAGACCATATTGTTTTGGTTGGTTTGGAATTTAGATGAGAGTGAAACAACTTGAATTGTTTAATAAATACTACTCTTTTGTTTATTTTTTTTCATTCAACTATGTTTAATAGTTCTATACACTGTAAAAAACAATTACAAAAGTATGCAGACATCAAGTAGCCTATATCAGACAACCCAAATACTTTTCTCTTTGAAGGGGATTGGAATAATATAAGCTTTGTGCTTCATCCAGTGCCTTTTCAAACCAAATCAAGGGACATTTAGAACAGGGAAAAATGTCCAACTAATATTGAGATAACTGACATTAATGTGATTAATCGCAAGTAAATATTTTAATTGTTTGAGAACACTAGTTTATAGTCATTTCTTTTGGGCTGACAGATCGAGATATTCCTATACTTGATATTTTTGTGTCTAACATTTGTGGGAGTAAACTGCAGAGGTGTGGGCTCTGCGTCTTATCTCAGTGTGGTTTGTGCAGTAATTAAATCAGAGTGTTTCTCAGCTCTGTCTGTGTTTCCTCTTTAATCAGGGACCATTAAACCTCTGATTGCACTCTGCTCCTGACTCCAGTCTCTTTAAAGGCTGCAGGCTGTCTGCTCGCTGCTGCTTTTGTTAATATACATGTTCAGTTTGCATCATGTAGAAGTAACAAAACTCACAACACAAGATGAACCTACATTTTTGAGAATATATAATAGCACAGATCATACACAAGACGACTCAAAGTGCTGAACAAAACAAGATAAAAACAATACAAAGAAGAACGCTAAATCTTATGTGAATGAGTATCCATTGAAAATACATTTTGAACAGTATTTGTGAATGAGAAATGTGTTGTATTTCACTTGGAAAAAATCACTCCATGGGAAAAATCCCTCTCAGTTCTCAGGCCTAGTGAAGACTATGATAGGAAACTCTGGGAACACTAGGTGCAACAGTAAGGCGGCTGTGCCAAACTGTTGTATCATTCTGCAAGACACTTCACTCACATTGCCTAGTATAAGTGTTGTGTGTGAGTGAATGGGTGGTGATGGTCGGAGGGACCGATGGCTATGCTTTCGCCAGGCTGTCCCAGGGCAGTAGTGGCTACATTAGCAGTTTATTACCAGTGTGTATGGAGTGACTGAATAATGACATGTGAAGCAACTTTGAATGTTTGAAAAGCACCATACATTACAATTATTGTTATTGTTAAAGAGACATAGTAATAATAATAATTTCAACTCCACGTGTGATGCCCGCCACTTATACACAGGAAAACGCAACCCCAAAGTGTTCCGACTCCAACAGCGATGAACAGATTCAGCAGATCCATTCTGTCGCAGTCTTTGGAAGAAAATCAACCAAAGCCTCTTGTAATAGTGGCTCCCTGTGACTTGTGCCGACCTCAGCACAAGGTCATCTTTGATCCATCGTTCGTCACTCTTCACAGATCACTTCGATTAAAGCTGAGGCCCCGTCCTGACACATGCTGCATACAGCTCTGCTCACATACATTCATTCTAATGCAGCCGTGGACAAGGTCATTCAGATGACTTTTAGGGCTACTTTTTCATACTGTTTAAAACACTATACTCAACATTAAAGCCTTTCTTGCATTTGGAATATAAAGTCAAATGATCTCTGACACTTTGTACTTGTCCTAAATGCTAATTGGACTACAATGCAACTACAATGACAGTTTGGATTGCTTTTTTGTCGTAAAAATCCAATAACATACATGACCCAGTTGTTTACAATAGATTTTCCACTCATAATACTGTATTGTGTTTGTGTTTCAGCCCCTGTCATCCTCAATGAGCTAAACTGGACACAGGCGCTGGAGCGAGTCTTTATTGAGAACCGCAGAGAGGACAGCTCCCTCCGGTGGCAGGTGTTTGGCAGTGCGACCGGTGTCACGCGCTACTACCCAGGTGAGTCCGCACCATCAGTCACCTCTAACCTGGCCGCTTTCAGGCACAGATAAAGTCTAAATTGGCCCTGGAGCTTTGGGGCAGCGGCACATTGCCTTCTCCTTATCAGATCACAGTTCTGTAACTTGACAGACAGGAGTAAATTATGATTTTTGACTTTGATCTAATCTGATCTTGTCTGAAAATGCCACATAGCACTATTAGGCTGTTTAGGACTTATATTGTTGGTGTTTGCAGCAACGCCATGGAGAGCACCCAACAAAATCGACCTGTACGACGTCCGCAGAAGGCCATGGTGAGTGTTAATCCTTCCTCTACATCTGCTTTGGATTGACTTTCATGTTTTCAATTTCAATATTTTTTGTACCTCAAACGGTTTCCAAAGAACGATACATATGGGGTGTATCTACTAAGGGTTTGTTCTCCTTAACATTGAATTTATGATAACTAAAACATTAAAAATTTCACCTGCTATTTTACTTGACACCTGCTGCTCCTAGATTGATAATTATACCTCAAAGTCTACTGTGCCATCTTTTTTTTTTCAAGGTTCTTTTGGCAATTTGGTAAGGACCCCATCGATAAAGAGATGATTTATCTGATGATTTGTCCTACAGCAAATGTTGGGACGATAACGTTTACCTCATCTTATCTTATCTTATCTCAATTCACATATATTTCTGTGCCTGAAGCCCTCGTAACTCACATAAAGAACGTTGTGGGTTTTATCCCTGGGTTGTGTCCCGGTTTCTGGATGGGGTTCCTACTACTCCAAATTCATCCACCAAGAAGATTACATTTTCACCTGTATTTGTATTTTTGTTTGTTGGCAAAATAACTGACAACATAATAAAATTTCAATAAATCTCTAGAATAGGAAAAGGGCAAATTACTAGATTTTGTACAGGTCTCCAGTCTATGGTTTTGACACTGTGGTTCAAATAAAAAACGTCATGATTAATTAACAATTAACTTAAATTAGAAGTTTTTCCTGGAGCAAAATAATAAATCCTCTATAATCCTGCTTCAATTGAGCTGGCCGATCGTCATTCTTTGCATATCTAGGGTATCAAACCCAAAAATGGTTGTTCTTTTGCCGACTTGGACGCAGCAGCTGTTAAGGAAGCTGATTCCTCCAAACTGTGACAAGTGATGCTGAACACACACAGTTTGAGACCACGCTGCTTTCTCCTGATCTTTCCTCCGAACACCAGGAAACTGCTCTGTGTACCTGCTGTCTCTTTCTTTCTCTGCTGTCACCCTTCTGTTGCCTGGTTACGTTCTCCGAGTGGACTGGACATAATGTTGACTGCCGCTGTGATTAGACTTGACCTGGTTTTCCACGTCCGCTTGCGTCCGGCTCGTCCTGAGTGGCTGTTTGAGGTCGGGCTGCGCTGTCAGACCAAGTCAACAAGAGCTTGGGCCATACAAACACGAGTCAAGTCCAAGAAGCAGCGTCTGCAATATTATAATGGGTGGAGGAAGCGCTTTTTATTGGAAGAATGTCAGAATTATTTATCTCACATAATATATATATATCTTGCATAATATAAACTTGGAAGATTCACAAAGACCCTGAAATCTGTGGTCATCAGGCCCCTCCTAAAAATGTACAGTCTGTATGCCACGGTACTGAACAATGGCCCACCCATCTCAAATCTTGAGTTGAGTTCATGGGAAAAATCCTACAAACTTATCACGCAACTTACCAAATTTCTTATATTCAACAACTCATTTGATATGCTCCAGTCTGGCTTTAGACCCCACCACAGCACTGACACCGCACTTGTCAAGGTAACAAACGATATCCTACTCAACACTGACGTAGAAAAAGTCTGAATCTTAATCACGTTAGATCTGAGTGCTGCTTTTGATGCTGTCAACCATTAAATCTTCTTACAGAGTCTAGATGACAGGGTGGGTTTGAAAGTAAAGTAAAAGTTATTGCGTCTAAAGCATACTTAGGGATTCTTATCCATGCATTTGTCTCCAGTTGGTTAGTTGTAGTCACATCCTGCCCACAGGTCTCTCAAAATGCTGCAGCTCGAGTCCAGACTAGAACCAGAGTGTTGCACCACATTAGTCCAGTTCTCAGGCCTCTGCACTGGCTTCCTGTGGCTCAGAGAATAGACTTTAAAGCAGCTCTGCTTGTGTACACAGGGGGAAGGCACCAATTGAGATTCATACAGCTAAAATCTGGTACAGTCTTTCTGAAAATGTGAGACAGGCTGCTTCTCTGAAAATGTTCAAATCCAGGCTAAAAGTAGTTCAGTTTAGCTGCAAATTCAACTCTTTGTATGGTGCTTATTTAAAGGCTGATTATTTTGTTAAGGAATTAATTTGAGTTCCCTTGTGTAGGAACTGTGCTATACAACTAAACTTGCCTTGCTTGGATTGATTAAATGGAGATCCTTTCATCATTATAAAACTACCTTGACTAATGAGTTGAAGAATAAGGACTGAACAGTAGCTCTATCAATCTCAAAGGAGCAATGCTGTGACATTTCTTTTACTTTTCTCGTCAGACACATGTGTATCTTTGCCATCCTGGATTTTAGCAGTACAGTATAACAATCACCGTCCAAAGTAGTGTAATATCAGATTGGCTTGTGACACACATTGGTGCGAGGAAACAGGAAAAGGGAATAAGGAAGTAGGGAGCTCTGTGGAGGGTGGTGAGTGGCAGGTGCTTGTTGACAGACTGAGACAGGTGAGAGGTGGGTTTTTGCTCTGACCAACAGCCTGTCACTCTGTGCGCCTCTGTTTGTCACTGTCCCAGCCGCCCTTCCTTTCCACATGTATTCAGACCTGTTGCTTACAACAGCTTTAGTGTTTAAAGAAGCCACAGAGGCTGTTCATAAAAAAGGAGAAAGTAATTTCTAATGGGTTTTTTAGAACCACATATTGCTCTAAAATGTAATTGAGTTGAATTCAAAATACCGGTTTGATGAACAAAAATTAAATAGGGTAATAACAAAAGACAGTATTATTGCTTCTATTAGAAATCCATAAGGTGATTCTACCCAAAACCTCCTAGTCTCTCTTCCATACACACTGAGCAACCGAAGGTTTTTAGCTTACCTCATAAAAAGTAATCTTTTGGCCATAAGGCGGGTTCAGTGTGAACACTGACACTACAAAATATTGCAGTAATTTAGGCAATAATAAAATAAGACAATCATTATTGCTGGTTGCTCACATGTGGGTCAGGTGAAGAAGATTAAAAAGTCAACTACACACGTCACAAGAGGGACAATACTCTGCAACAAGCCGAGTAACAAGAGTGAAGCTTTGTTTGTACAAAAAAGAGAAAAAAATGTATATGGCTCTGTGTGGATGATTAGCAGCTTGCATGTGATTATCTCTGGTTCTGGGTGACTGATATTCAACTTGGGTCAGTAAATACAGGCCTGCACTGTGAATACGCCTGATTTTATTCATGGCATGTAATTATGCATAATGTATCAGTTTAACCACTATGACATAAAGTTAGTTTAGCTTTGTAACCACTATGACATGAAGTTAGTTTAGCTCTATAAGTATCTCTTTCCATCACACAGGGGATGTAGATATACTCTTGATTTGTCAGATTAGGAAAGGGCACTGTCCTTGTGACGTCTGATGTCGTCAATCACTCAACCTCCATTGAGGTTAGTGTCAGGAGCGACCAGGTCAAGTGTAAAGATGCATGTACAACAGCGGAACTGCCACGCATGCAATATCCACCTCTGAGCACCTGGCATATCAGATTGTATTTATTCATATTCGCTGATGCATCAAAATGCCAATGTCATATGCAGAAAATAGGTCATAGAGGTCATAGGCTTTAGCAGTTATCCATAACTATCTCTAACTAACTCATAATCAAATAAGAAGAGCAGATATAATATATGAATGTGCTGCACCACCTGGACGGCACAGGGGCGCACTGGTTAAGGTTTGTGCTATAGGTTTGATTCCACCTCCAGGTCTTTATGTGTGGAGTTTGCATGTTCTCTCTGTTTCTGCATAGGTTTTCTCCGGGTTCTCTGTTTTCCCCTATACCACTAAACACACAGTCTGGCATGTGCCTCCTGTAGGGCAACCCCACTCCCATCTCTGTGTGGAGTGAGAGACAAATGCCCACAACAATTGTAAAGCGCTTTGTGACTCTGCTCTGTTAAAGGCGCTATATAGATAAAGATTACTTACTCATATACGTTTTGAATATATGACTGAAATCTAAACACACTTTTGACAAGTTTAATGCTAGCGGTTTTCATTTAAATTACCATTACAGTAAAGAAAATACTTGTTGAATCAGAGTATGTTTATATATTGAAATCATGTATCAGTTGTATGTATCGTCACAGTGGAGGCTATTCCTGGTCAGTGCTGGTCATAGTTGTCCAGTCCAGGTTTTGGGGGTGACTGCTGCCTGCCACTAAAGATGGACGCAGCCCTCTGTCTCCCACAACCACAGCCTCAAAATTAATGGTCTCTAAATGCTTTGACGTTAATTATTAACATTCATCTATTATAATGTCTCTTCATGTTATTCACGCACGTAAAATAGACAGAGGAGAGAAACAGTAATGACAGGCATGAAGCTCAGTTCACTCTGATGTTGAATCCACCAAACAGCACATACAGCTACAGCAAAATACTATTACTTTTTCATATATACACTTTTGTTTGTTCCAATATAAAGAGTCACATTTTATCTACTTTAGAAAGTAAGTCATTTTATTTTTTCAGTAATTTTTAGTAATTTTACATGACGCTTTTGGGCTGAGAGCTGATTGGCTGAATGAATATCTTCTCCTTTTTCTCTTTCCAACTGAAAAATAGAGTAACAACCACATGAATTGTAAGAAAAAAAGTAACATTCAAATCTCTTTGCTAGACTGAATAATTTACTTTCTCCACATTGGAAAATAAACACATTTAATACAGAATTTTTACTTTTACCAAAATATGGAAATATGAGTTTTGGCATGGGCACCACACCTGTATTGATCATAAAAAATAAAAGCACAGACAACATCGCTTGCGGTGCCGGGTCCCTGGGCTCCTGCCTCCTATATGTTTTATCTTAATTCAATCTTTATTCGCGGCCACATCCACAGCAGCTCTAAGAGCCCAGCAAGTCCATAAAATAATACAACCATCAACACAAATCCATGCACAAGGGAAAATGCAAGTAAATATCCTGCTTACCTGCACCAACCTGTCCATACTGATAATGTTGTCTGGTCAATTGTACAGCCGCAAAACTATTACCTGTAACTAGTTTATAAGTATATGATTCACCAG